ATGTTTCTCTCCCCTCCCCTGCTTCCATCTGAAGATAAATGGAAAAAATCCTCAGGTGAGGATTAAACAGAGAGAGAGAGAAAGTGTATGCTTCCCAGCTTTAACAACATTGTGTATTGTGGTGTATGTATTTCTGTATGTATTTTCATTAGTTTGAGACATAGCTCATGTACAGTTCCCTTCTATGGTCACCTTTACCTCTCCTTCCACTTCTCTCACTACGTTAAGCCTGTTATTCCATCTCACTGTGATCACCAGTCTCCTGACCTCTTCCAAATTTTCAGTCTCTTTTTAGTTTCATATTGACTTTTCTCAGCTTGACCTTCACAGATCATCATTTCTCCTATATTTTCAGTGGCTTCTTTAATTCCATTGGCTTTTTGATACTTACTACACTGCCAGTTCCCAGTCATTCTATATTTTAATTTTTTTGTTAATCCTCACCAGAGGATACTTTTCCATTAATTTTTAGATAAAATGAATGGAAGGGAGGGAAGGGGAAGGAGGGCGGGAGCAAGAGACAAACATTGATGTGAGAGAGACACATTGATTGGTTGCCTCCTGCACAACACAGACTGGGGCTGGGGATTGAACCTGCAACACAGGTACATGCCCCTGACCAGGAATCAAACCCTTGACCCTTTGGTCTGTGGGCCAGCACTCTAATCGCTGAGCCAAAACTACCAGGGCTACAAAACCCCTTTAAATGGTTCTGTTATCCATTATATTTCAAATTTCACATGTAAACAGCAATCCTTTTACTAATCTTTAGTTGACTTCCTCCTCATTCTGTAAGCAATCTGCTCCATTATAGCTCCTAACTCCTCACTCATGATGAGGATCTTATTTTTTCTTTTTGTCCTTACTCGAGGACATTTTTTCATTTTTTGTTCAGATAGAGTGGGAGGGAGAGAGAGGAAGAGAGAGAGAGAAACATCGACGTGAAAGGGACACAACGAGTGGTTGCTACCCGTACAACCCAACCAGGGCCGGGGACAAACTGCAACCAAGGTACATGCCCCTAGCAGGAACCGAACCTGGGTCTCTCTGAACCGCAGGCCGATGCTCTAACCGCTGGGCCAAACTGGCCAGGGCGAGGATCTTATTTTTTACTTCATTCACAAAGTTAGAAGTTTTTAAGATCCAAGGAACCCGCTTGCTTCTTTAGGATAGTTTGAACTAGGATTTCTGCCACTTGAAACAAAGATTTCTCAGGTAATCATTAAATAAAACTGGATACCATCATACTTAAAAATATTGAAAGCATACCTGCAGGACAGTGTGGTAGTTCTTCCTTAGGAATGCTGGTCATTCTTTGAAAATCATCATGACAAGCATTACAAAAATGTGTTGTTCCAAAACAGAAAAAGACAGCCACTGAACAGCAGTAGCGACATTTATATTCCAAAAAGTCTGTGCCATGTTTTGGACACATCTATAGCAAAAGAAAATAGACACAAGATTATAGTGAATCTATTTCATTATACTTATGATAATCTTATATATAGCAGTGATTCTTATTTTGAGAGTATACACAGCTCTGCAAACTGATTGAAAAATTAAGATATACACATTTAAAAAATGAATAAATATATGGCTTTGCCCAAAAGATCTGGACAAGTCTCAAGTTCTAATCCCAGCTCCATCATAACTAATTTTGTTTATAAGCTAGCCATGTAATTTCCTTGTGAATGTTTCCTGGTCAGCCAAGTTGAAAAATTAGTAATATTTCATTTATCAGTCTCACAGATGTACTGTGAAGATTTTATCAAAGAGGGGAAAATCTAAAAATATGAAATATTGTGATTATTTTACAGAAGACAAAATTATAAAATACAAACTCTATCCAAAATAAACATCAGAAATGCCAGGGGGAAAACCTGCTATACCATTTCTACCATACTGACTATATTATTATTAAAAAATAGAAATTTAATGTTTCTAAATTATCCTTTCTAATACAATGTTCTACCCACCTGAGCCCTGGACACATCAGAACAGGCACCACAAATGAGTTCCCTGGGATCATAGTCATCCCCTTGTCCAGCCTCAGCATCGCAGCGAGCTTCGCCACCAAAATATGCCTAGGGACAAAATGCATTGAGATTATAGCAGGTCAGAAACTCTGCCATGGTAGATCTAGTTTGGGCATAGTGGAAATAAGGTCAAGAGGTCTTGCAGATCAGGATAAGAAATAAAGCTGTTCCTCAATTCTGAATGGACCCATGTTTACAGTAGGAAGTCCAAACACTGTAATGTCAAAGCAAAATAACAAAAGAATGTATAATATCCCATGCCCGGTGGTGTGGCTCAGTGGTTGAGCATCGACCCATGCATCAAGAGGTTGCCAGTTCGATTTCTGGTCAAGGCACATGCCCAGGTTGTGGGCCAAATCCCCAGGTGGGGCATGCAGAAGGTGGCCAATCGATGTTCTCTCTCATCGATGTTTCTTTTTTTTCTTTTTCTTTTTTTTATCCTCACCCGAGGACACTCTTCCATTCTTTATTCAGACAGAGTGGGAGGGAGAGAGAGGAAGAGAGAGAGAGAAACATCAATGTGAAAGGGACATATCAAGTGGCTGCCACTCGCACGACCCAACCAGGACCGGGGACAAACTGCAACCAGAGTACATGCCCCCAGCTGGAACCGAACCCGGGTCTCTCTGGACCGCAGGCTGACGCTCTAACCGCTGAGCCAAACCGGCCAGGGCCTCATCGATGTTTCTATCTCTCTCTCCCTCTCCCTTCCTCTCTAAAATCAATAAAGACAAAAAAAAATGTATAATATTCCAAATAAATATCAAAATTGGATATTAAATAAAAAAGAGAAACTGCTTCTTCAGGGCAAAGTCTGAATAGTTTTTCATCATTTTGAAATTGTAAACATCTTCCATTTTACTCCCATTTAAATACTGAAGAACAAAAAATATGCCTAAAGTAAATAATCATATAGAATTATAATCCTCAGGCTAATGAGAAAAAAAAATCAATTTTAATCATATAAAAAATTTTTAAAGCAAAGGCAAATTTGATACTTCTGTTCAGAATACTACTCACACTTATAAAGCTACACTATATGCAAGAACTAAACAGTATCCAGTACGGATACTTGAATAAATGAAATTATCCTAACAAATGATTTAACTGAATTTGCTCTGGGCACAAAGTAAGTGAGGTCAATTATAACTGGGGCAATCTACATCCACATGTTCCATAGCAAAAAAAGCTATGTCCATAATTGAGGATAAACAAGATGAGTCACTATAAATCTATTATTTATACTAGAAAAACCAGTCAAAAGACAGGCTCCATTGATACAGAGGTTAGTAAATGGTTATCTACCAGCTGAATTTGGCTTCAGGAATATTTCATTTGTCCTGGGGTCTATTCCAGATGTTTTACTTTCCCAGATATCCTGGTTGGTTTCCTGGACATTTGACTACCATCCTTGTGGTGACACAATACTCATTTATGATGTTTAGTACATTAAACACACAAATAATGTATTATTATTTGTAACAATACAATTCACAAATACACAGTATTGGTTTTTCCTTGGGTGTATGTATATTTGTCTGGTTTTCTGGCTACCATCTACCCTTCCATGCACTATCTGTATTTTCTTTTTGCTACACTGGGAGACTATGCATCTTTCATTTACTGATTCTTTTGTTCACTTACTCATTTTCTAATTAACTTAGTGTCCTGTAAGTGCCAAGTACTGGAGACAAAGAAATGGGAAAACACAGTCTTTGTCCTCATGGAGCTTATCGAGCAGGGCAGAGATAACTGACAAGTAGTCATAATGCAGAGTAATGAGTGCTATGATGGATGGGTGTCAGATTTCTAAATCATGTGGTGGTGGGTAGGCATGGGCACATTACAGAGGAGGTGAAACCTGTTCTGAATCCAGAAGTGTGACATATTTGGCTCTGCACCTGAGCACATATGTATGGCAGGTGGCAGGTGAGAGTAAAATGCACAGCCAGAGGGACACAGGGACGAGCATTTCATGAAGACAAATCGCCTATGCAATGGTATGAAGTGTCAGTGAGTGAGAGACATGGCCGAGTCTGAGGAATTACAAGTTGTTCAGTATTTTATAGCATAGGGTGCAATGGTAGCATACTGGGGGATGAGATGAAGAGTGGGCAAGGCTACAGGATTATAAGTAGAACAATCACACAATCAGATTTGAGAAAAAGTAATATACGAAAAATAGTATAAGTATAAAGGATGGCATGGAGGGGTTAAGGGCTCCACAAAAGGAGTTCAGTAAGAAGGCTGCTATAATTACCAAAGAAAATCATTAGGTTTGCTGAAGATGTCATAGGGAAAAACAAACAAAAAAACCCTCAAGAGAGATTTGGAGACAGAATTGACAGGACTTTGTAAATTAATATTGGAGAATGTGAGAGTCAAAGCTGAATGTAATACTGGACATACGGACTTTGAAGTTATCTGTGAAAAATACAAATGTCTGAAAGGCAGTTGGATATCTGTATCTAAATCTCAAAAATTTTAGAAGGTCATCACATTATAGGTGGTTGACAAAGGCATGGGTGTACAGGAGGTCACCAAAGATGAGGCATTGTTAGCCAAAAAAGGAGTGTTGGGGAAGCAAATATGTTAGGGGCAGGTGAATGAAAAGAAACCCTAGGAGGGCATTAAAGATAAATGAGCAGAAAGGACTATATAAAATATATATATATGTATATATATATATACACACACACACATACATACATACTATTGTCCTGGAAGACAAGGAAGTAAGAATTTAAGGAGGAAATGCTCAAAAGAGTCAAGTAAGAGAAGTTTATTCAAGGACCAAATGAATTTGGAAAACAGGAGATTATTACTGATGGTAAGTAGCTTGTATACAGAAATATTTCATGTTCTGGAAATACTCTATATAGGTTAAAAAAAAAAATCCCAAAACAAATTAAGTAAATAAATTCAACATGAAACAGTACAAAGCTTTCTCATTTTTAATTTCAGATTTAAGATGTAAGAATAATTGGATATCGGTATACAAATTCAACTTCTTAATCACATAGGTAAGGTAATCTCTACTTCTTAAAAATTCTTAATATAATTTATAGCATACCTTTCTGCATTTGTAGCAAACATAATATGCATATCTATTCATGGCGTAGCCAGCTGGGTCATTATAAAATCTCACACCAGGAGTTGTGATAGCTTCACTCTTATGCAGACCTTCATATTCCAGTCTCATTAAGGCTTTTCTTCTGACATCCTCATAGAGTTCTTTTATTGGATCAAGCAGGTCTTTTAATACTATATGATTTATTTTGTTCTGAAATTTAAAAAATGAACATCCTTTAAGAGAATCATTTACTTATTAATTCAACAAACAGTGTGTACCAAATTGCCAAGCACTGTGCTAGGAAATAACCCAAAATTTTCTAAATAAAATGCCATTTAAAAGTAAAGTCCTCACAAGCCTGTATTTTCCTGAGAATAGGGAAAATGGGAATAAGGGCACAGAATGTGAAAATTCAATTTTATTAGCTTCATATTCTTGAGTATGAAACATATCTCCTGCTGCCTCGACCATTGTGAAAATAAAAGGTTATCACCTTGCTGCCACAAATAAGACACATTCGTGTGTGTGTGTGTGTGTGTGTGTGTGTGTGTTTTGGTTCCTTGGAGCTAGGGTAGAATGTGAGATGGTATAAATAAGCAGGCAGTATATTTTATCTACCACTTTCATATATCATTTCTTAAATGTGATCTTCTTTTGGTGACACTGTATGAGACAAGAGAGTAAATAATAATCTTTTTTATCATTTCTCAGTTTAAGCAATTGTGTTAAGTCTTTCCATATTATACCCTTTATACCAGTCTGCAAATCTTAAAAAAATAGGGAGAACTAAATAGAAAAAAATGAAGAATTAATAGAGAAGGCATTGCTAATCACATTCTTAAACAAAGGTTTTTTTGTTATTATTAGCTTGCCAGAACAACTTGCTACTTTGCTTATTACTATCTTTGTAGAGATGTGTTAAAAGTTTTTTCTTATTTGAGCTCTAAATGACTCTGAAAGTTCAGATTTCACTCTTTAAATGACAGGTGTCAGTACCTACAAGTGCCACAGGCTCATTCTTCTTTTTGGTAGTCACCATTGTCATGCCACATGATGTAAACTCTGAGGGGGGTCTGAAAGCGGTGATGTAAGCATGTCCTTCAATGTTTGATGATGTCTAAATGAGTTTCACGATGCAGTATGCTTAATTTAACTAGCTTTTAATTGACAATTACTATTTTAAAATGCATTATAATAGAGAGATCTATAATATTCTCAGGTACCACCTGGATAAAGAGAGCAGAAACTGATGGGGGATGGTGGTAAAAAAGTAAGTGGGGAAGGACACTGAGAGATACTGACACAGGTTTATTCTTAAAGATGAAAGAAAGGAAATAGAAAGTAGGTACTCCCTGATTCTTTCCATACCTTGCAGATGGGACAAGATATAAATCCAAATGTTATCCTTGGACCAAGCCATCTGTTTTCTAAAACTCGTCGACAACACTGTAAGTGGAATACGTGACTACAGTCCAGCTTAAGTAAATAAAAGAGAAGGATATAAGCAAATGTAATAATGATAAACATGAGTAACTGGCAGATTATTCAATGTATGGTGCTACTGAAAACAAGTAAGAGAAAAATCAAGAAATTTAGTATAGTGAAATTTTAGCCCTTTCCTACTCTTTACAGGACATTAACTAGGTCTTTAGCTTCTCTCAGTTTTTTAGCATACATATATTAATGCCATCTTATAGAGAGTAAGCTGGGTTAGGAAAAATGCAAAGTTACTCAGTTCTGTATCTTATAAAAGAATAGGAACCACTGACTTAAAGATTTAAGATTTATTTTTTAGAATATTACCTTAGAATTATAAGAACTAGAAATATAAGTGAGCAACCAATAAAAGTATAAAAAGGTATCTTGCAAAGAGTAACTTCTATAATATTATTATTATAGATATATGTATATACATTATATATAGAGGTATGTATCATTGCATTATTATGTATAGATCAATTATATAATGTTATTAAATATCATTCTGGATTTTGAAAATTAAGAGGGTAGATACTGGATCATCTATTTTTCATCCCTTCTGAACATTTTATACATTTTACTGACTAGGCTCACACAAATCACAAATTAAAACTAAACACACATAATGTAAATAGAATATAAGAGACAGAATTTTCTCTTTAATAAACTGGTAGGTGTTAATGGGACATTTTCTCCCAATGATAATCTAGAACCATTTAATATTTTAAAGGCTGAGACAACCTGAATGGCTGGTGCTGCCGAAAGCGCTTCAGTGAAACAGATCATGCACATGTCATCAGCATCCTGCTTCAGTGTTGTGGCACTTTTATCACAGCCGTGTAGACAGGGCAGACAATGCTCTTCGTTTTTCACACCTCCACATGGGTGGCCACAAGGATGTGTCTTACTACAGGCTATCTTGGCATATTCCTATTAAAGATGAATTACAATGGCATACAAAATATCAAAAAGAGCACACATCCTAGTAATTATATCCATTATAATAATTTTCCAAGATATAGTCCTACAGGAAACACATATTAAGGCTAAGTTACAATAAAGTAATTTTTATTCTTTGAAAATACTTTAGGATTATTAACAAAGTCTATTTTTCTTTTAATATGTTTTAAAAAAATTTCACTCCATGTAAAGGGAATGCTGATAAAAAGTAAATTACAAAGTTAATCTATTTGTTATCATGCATAGCCACGAAGCAAAAAAATTACTGACATACAATCTCCCCATTACCACCCACCTGCTCACCAAAATGAGGATTAAAAAAATATATAGGTATCTTTCACTATTTGGGCACTAACCAAATTCTTGTTCATTAAATTGAAGAATCAAAAATATCTGGACAGCACTGGCCAGTGTGGCTCAGTTCATTGGAGCGTCATCCTGTGCCACAAAGGGTCTCAGTTCGATTCTTGGCCAGGACACATATCTGGTTTCTGTGTCAGGCCATGTACCAGAGGCAACCAATTGATGTTGCTCTCTCACATCAATGTTTCACTCTCTTTCTAAAAAACCAATAGAGCCCTGGCTTGTTTGGCTCGGTGGTTGGAGTGTCAGCCCACAGACCGAAGAGGTGTGGGTTCGATTCCTGTCAAGGGCATGTACCTGGTTTGCAAGTTTGATCCCCAGCCCAGGTCAGGGTCATGTGGAGGCAACCAATCAATTTGTCTCTCTCACATTAATGCTTCTCTCTCTCTCTTTCTCCCCCTCCCTCCCTCCATCACTTCCACTCTTTCTAAAAAAATCAATGAAAAAATATCCTTGGGTGAGGATTAACAACAAAAAAATTAAAGTAACAATAAGATAAAAAATAAAATAAAAACCCCCACAGAAATATATCCTCGGGTAAGGATTAAAAAAAATTGGAAAACATGGAATGTGTACTGATGATTAAGTCTAAAGAACTTTCAGATACTGTAAGTTTATTTTAGGAAAATAAGTAAAAAAAAATATGTATAAGAGGCAAAGCAAATATAGTTCATAGATTTTTAACTGTTTTTAGCACAAAAGTAACTGTGAACTGTATATGCTGATGGGAAACACACAAAAAGAGTCTGGTTTGGGCTTGAGTGCTTTATCTGATCCACTTGCCAGCTCTTAACATGGGTAATGCACTGATTTAGAAAACAAGTGATGCTGAGCTCGAACTCTTACTGACATGAAGTAAAGGTGGGAATATGTGCCACCCTTACTGGGATACTCACCTGGCAGTCTGCGTCAGAACAAACACTGCCAACAGCAGATAGCTCTGTTCCACTTCTGGAACCACAAAAGCGGCATGCTTCCGAGCTACTTGTGGTGGGTTTGCCTAGGTTCAAGCAGAAAAAAGAAAAATCTTCCAGAAGAGTATTTTCTGCATATTTTAATATAATTAGTTAAAAACAAACAAGCAAACCGGGTCTGCATCAGTTGCCATCACTGGGAAATCAGCCTGACAGTCTTAGAGCTGAAGAAGCACTAATTACAAAGTAAATATACAAGAAAAGGGGTAAGAAACTAAAGAGCTATATCTAAAGCCAAATAAATTATTAACTAATTTATTTATATTTTTTCGGTAAAAAGAAATAGACTAGAGTTCTAGTCAAGATAGCAGGTTGAGCAGATATGGCAAACCCCCTACTAAAAAAAAGCACAATAACAAAATATAACACTAAAAGTTAAATAAAATACACAGAAGGAAGGGAAAGCTTTAAGTACCTTTCTACAATGGCAATATTAAAATGCATAGAAGAAAACCTCATCAGAGAATATGAAACTTGAAAAACAATTCCCACTCAAGGAAGTAGAGATAATAAAGCAATTTGAACAGAAGGAATAGATCCATAAAAACAAGAATAGAATAACGCAAAAAAGAACAGGGAGATTTCAAAAGTATAGACCAAGATCATTTTTGAACACAGATACAAAAATTCTAAATATAATAGTAATACACTGAACTTAAATCAGCTCAGAAAAAAAGACCATGATCTTGTAGCATGTAAAGTTACTCATACCTAAAGTTAAATGATTGTTCAGGTTTATACCCAATTCTAACATCAGGAATTTGTGTCAGTCAAATGGCAGATGACAGAGGTACTGAAAACTGAGAACTTACAAGATTTAATGTAACTAAACTGGGAATATACCAGACTTACTTTATAAATAAATTAAAACCAAAACCCACATGTTTTGGAGATAAAATGACTGGCCCAAAGTTATACACACTGCTAGTTAGTGGCAAACCAGGTTTCCTGGCTGTTAGTCTGATGCTCTTTCTGCCACTGAGCATTTAATCATTAAATATATTGATATAGTGATCAATGATGTCATAATAATCACTTGTAATATACTCAAAATTATTCACATTAAATAATTAAACTAACATCTAATTTAATGGTAACCAATAGGCATGGTTCAATCTTAAATCCTGTTTTACCTGTGTGTTCTCGGAATTCCACCATTGCTTTCATTGTTTTAGAATCTGCTAGTGCCATTAACCAGAACAATTTGGTTCTACCACAGCCTTCATGAAGGTCAACCTTTATAGCTTCTTCTTCTTCTTTGAAGACCTATTGTACCATTAAAAAAAGGGAAAATTTTTTTTATTTATGACTCTGAAAGAAAAGTATAAACTTTAATTAATCAATGACAGTAATGGCTTCTATTTAGTAAGCACTCTAAAAGTTCCAGATATTTCCAATCTTCTCTTTAATCTCCACAACAGTTCCATTTTTATAAATGTGGACACTAAGTCTTAGAGAAGTTAAACAATTTGCTTGCTTTACACAGTTGATAAGTGAAACAGTTGGGAATTCCACTAAGGGCTTTGATTCCAAAATCCATTTTTTCCCATTATACCAAGTCACCTTCCCACAAAATTTACTGAATGTATTTTATGTTCTAGATACAGTTCTGAGTGTAAAGACAGAAATCTTCACCTGTCTTTGATGAGTTTTGGTTCGTCGATGAAGATGAAGGAATCTGTCACAGTCAGTACACAAATTTCCACATACGTTGCACAAAATGATTGCTGCAGTTTCACCATCATCATGGTTATCACACATAGGCTAAAATAAGACATTTCCATAGGTTACGTTAGATTAACAAGAAAGTCTCAATATTCACACGAATGTAACTTATTCTTTTTTTTTTTCTTTTTTTTTTTATTGATTAATTTTTGTTACAGATGATTCTCCTTTTCCCCCCCACTGATTCCTCCCTCCCTCTCCCCTCCCTGCCCCTTCCCCAGATTGTTGTCCATATCCACTTGTAACTTATTCTTAATAGTAACAGACTGTTATTGTGAAGTCTATTAATAATTTGGAATCTGAACATTAAACAGAATGATGGCAAGTGCACTAACCTATAAAATTCCCTTAAAGGCCCCAATTCGATGATTAATAAAAATAAACATGTATACTTGGCTTAGTGACTTGAGAAAATTTCTCCCCATTGTATTCAAACAATCTGTATGCTAAATGAACAAATTATTCATTTTTGAAATTTGAACCATCAATAGGAAAGTGTTGAAAGGGTCCATAAAAAGTCTTCTTCCAGTAAATGTAAAGATATATATCAAGCCCGGCCAGTGTGGCTCACTAGTTGAGCATCGACCCACACACCAAGAGGTCGCTGGTTCAATTCCCGGTCAGGGCACATGCCCTGGTTGTGGGTCCGATCCCCAGTGGGGGGCATGCAGGAGATGGCCAATTGATGTTCTCTCTCGATGTTTCTCTCTCTTGCTCTCCCTCTCCCTTCCTCTCTCTCTAAAAGCAGTAAGGAAAGAAAGTATATATATATAAAAAGATAGCCCTGACCGGTTTTGCTTAGTGGTTAGAACGTCACGTACTGATGGGTCACAGGTTCAATTCTGGTCAAGGGCACATACCTTGGTTGTGGTTCGTCCCGGCCCTGGTCAAGGTCGTGTGGGAGGCAACCAGTCGATGAGTCCCTCTCATGGATGTTTCTCTCTCTCC